ATAGATCTACCCTGCACAACTTGAGACTCTGTCTGTGAAATACAAAAGACATAAAAATACGTTGACTAGCATATCAATAACGGCATATAGCACGCATTCCATCCCACTTTGATGGAAGAGAATACTGCATAGAGTATCTGCAGTGTGAACCCACGTGACCACGATCGGATTTTCAAGTTATCGTCAGATCTTTTAACCTCCAGTTGTCGTCAGTTCCTCACAACTCCCTATGAGCTCAAGTCGGTCGGGATGAAAGAGCCACGCCTTCCTACGGGATCTTCTGATCCAGTTGCGTTCACATGCACCTGCTCAGCCTCAAGTTCTGGCGACGGGCTCGTTCTCCTCTTTTACCGTTATTTCGATGCCTCTCCTTCTCTTCCCTCTCCATCCCAATCTTTGCGAGCCGATACCTCCTCTCTTGCCGAATTTCACACAGCCACTACCCAAAGGCTCAATTTGGGAGGCAAGATTCGGATAGCAAACGAAGGCTTTAACATCACAGTGGGAGGCACGAAATCTTCCATTGAAGAGTACATGCAAGAGTGCATTTCACACTGGTCATTCTCTGGACTAGACTTCTACACACAAGAACAACAACAACAATTCTTCAAGCCAACACCTGGAGGATGCGCATGCGTTTTTGGCGGTGATCCAGCCAGCGTTCGTGTGACATCAGAGATCACGCCGATGGGAATTACAAATTACATCCCAGCTAAATGGGATCAAATTGAGAGCCTGAACCCAGAGGAATTCCACGAGAGATGCCATAGTGACCCTGACACCATGCTTCTGGATGTTCGCAACCATTACGAGTCACGTATCGGGTATTTCGTGGACCCTAAAACTGGCGAGGCGGCCTTGAGACCAGCGATTAGAAGGTTCTCACAATGGCCGCAGTATGTGAAGAGGCAGATGAGTAGACTGGGAGAAAGTAAGATACCAGGATCGAAACAGATCATGACCTACTGTACTGGTGGGATACGATGTGAGAAGGGAGCGAGATTCTTACAGGAGAACATGAAGAAAGAGGGAGACAGGGTGTGTACTTTACAAGGAGGAATCGCTGCCTACTTGACCTGGATGGATGAGGAGATCAATTCAGGAAGGAAATGTCCTGAGGATTCGCTCTTTCGGGGAAGGAATTACGTCTTCGATGCGAGAGGTTCGACAGGGTTGATTTCATCTCCAGCGGTGGAGCCGGTCTCGACATGTCATACGTGTGAAAGTCCCTGCGATAGATTGAGCAAGTGTCGATCGAAAGGCTGTCACCTTGTACTCGTCGTTTGCGAACGTTGCGAGTCGGGAGACCCAAGATGCTGTCAGAACTGTGAAGAGTTCGACGAACAAGCCTGCTCGAAAGATGCAGAGACAGAAAAATCCAGACCGAGGCTTATCTGTGCTTGTGAGAGGGACAGAGAAGCCGAACTTTGGGGAGCCGAAGAGGAGAAAGTGCCAAAGACTCAAGGTTGGAGGAAGGCTAAAAGGAAGAATCAGAACGCCAACGGCATCAACATCCAAGTTGAGACATATAAATGAAGGTTGCAAGCTTTCATCACACAAGAACAACATAAGGCTGAACCCACACACCCACAAAGGACCACACCGCATATAAGCTGAGATAGGTCTGGGAACTTGTAACCCGATCGGTACAGAGCCTTCAATGTCACTCGCCGTACTCGCGATCTTCCCGAACGAGATGGCATTCAGAAGATCTCTATGTTCGGAACCCCATGTCTGCGATTCTAGTCTTGGTTGGACGTTTCGAACGGCTGTCGTGTAAGAATAAGGGTGCCGAAAAAGCTTGGTGTCAGTGAGCTCTTGCATCCCCGAATAGGGCCCTGCACACTGAGATACCTTCAGCCATGGTTCCACAAGTGCTTTTGTAGACGCGGACCAGATGAGTAAGATCTACTCAACCTTACCACTCAAATGCTTGAATTGTTTTAAGCTTGTAGAAAATCAAGTATCGAGTAAGCGCTTTGCCGAATTGTGGGTTAGATATTCGGAGCTTTCTTTGCTATTCGATCTCTCTCTGGTCCCTAGGACCCTAGCCAGATAATTTGATGGCTTTCCTACTAGTTGTTCAATATTCGTTCTGAAGTGCCCAAAAGGTACAGCAACTTCCAAAAGAGGGCAAGCAGCTGGACATACTTGCAGATTCTTGCAGGCTCCAACTCCTTCTCCAATGGTGAACCCATGCATCCTTTTCAAATTCAAGTATTTGAACTTCATCCATAAAAACATTACAAATAGTCTCCTGTTCCATACCCCAGTCTCCGTTTCGTACGTAGTGTTAGACTTGCTGACAAAGTCGCCCACATCTTGCATCTCCATGGGTACTCGGCAATGGACAATAGGATATGCGGACTCGCTGCCAAGACTCCACTCGGTTCCCCAGGAGCCATCTGGGGTATTACATATGCAATGCACGAAGTTGCTGATTGATTGTGCAGTGGAACAATAGACTTACTAGCAAAGTGCTTGAACTGGAGGGAGAGATAGCATGCAGATTAAGCTTTGGAAGTGTCCAATGGCTGCGTCTCGAGTTGCAGGGCTGAGATTTACCGATGTGGTGATCGTATGATTTGTTATGAACGGATGCTGATTGGAACCTAGTCAAGAAAATCTTCTGCCTTGTCATGTTGTGGATTCTATGACATGCAGATGAGGTTCGCGAAGCGTCTTTGGAGTACAATTCCGCGGAGTGATGTTTGTATATAAGTAGGGAGAGGGGGGAATTAGTGAGACTCAACTCCACACCCTTTACATACCAGATACAAACAGTCACACTCAGCGACCAAGACAAATTCTTGCATTTCAACTACAATTCCTTCATAATGACGTCCCCCACATCAACACCTCCCAAATTCCCCTTCGCCCGTCCATCAGGAACCATTCCCGCACTAGAATATGCCCACCTACGAGCTACAGATCCAGTCTCCCAAGTCGAGCTTTTTGACGGCAGTCTCGCATGGCTGATAGTCAAACACAAAGACATCTGCGCCGTGCTAACCGACGAAAGACTATCAAAAGTATGTACTAAGTTCCGACATCGATTCCTACAGAGTTGTAAAGTAACATCAACCAGCAACGGAACAGACCAGGTTTCCCAGAACTCTCAGCGGGCGGCAAAGAAGCAGCCAAGAACAAGCCTACCTTCGTAGACATGGACCCGCCACAGCATATGCAGCAAAGGGGTATGGTGGAGTCTATCTTCACCAAGCAGCATATCGATAATATGCGTCCTCAGATTCAGGAGACAGTCAACAGTCTCCTGGACAAGATGATCGCCGAGGGAGGATCTGAACCATTTGACTCCGTCGAGAAGTTTGCTTTGCCTGTTCCATCTTATGTACTCTCTCCTCTTCCATGATTCACAGCTCAATGGAATCACAGCTGACCCTCGCCTAACAGACAATCTACAGCATCCTCGGAGTTCCCCTCGTCGACCTTCCAAAACTCACCAACTTCGCCGCCATCCGTTCCAATGGCTCTGGTACCGCAACCGAAGCCTCAAACGCAAACGCCGCTCTCCTATCCTACATGGACTCGCTAGTAACAGCTCGACTCTCCGAGCCCAAAGCAGACTTAATCTCCCTCCTCGTGAAAGAACAGCTCATCCCCGGCCACCTAACCCAAGCCGACGTAGTTCAGATCGCATTCCTCCTCCTCGTCGCAGGGAACGCAACAATGGTATCCATGATCGCACTCGGCGTCGTTACGCTCCTCGAACATCCCGATCAACTCGAATCCCTGAAACAAGACCCGGAAAAGTGGACGGCGCCGTTCGTGGAGGAGCTGTGTAGGTTCCATACGGCGTCTGCGTTGGCTACGAAGAGGGTTGCGAAGGAGGATGTTGTGTATGGTGGGAAGTTGATTAAGGCCGGAGAGGGTATTATTGCGGCTACCCAGAGTGGGAATCGTGATGAGGAGGTGTTTGGTGAGACGGCTGATCAGTTTGATATGAAGCGTGTGAGGGGAAGTGAGGAGGCTTTGGGATATGGGTGGGGTCCTCATAGGTCTGTTTATCCTTCCTCTTTTTGTTTCTCGTGCGTGAGCATCCAGGATTATTATGTCTCAACTGCATCTTGATACATTAAAAAACAAGTACTAACGTGCCTGGTATAGATGCGTAGCGGAGTGGTTAGCTCGTGCCGAGTTGGAGATTGTATTCGGTAAGTCATCATCCTCCTATTATTAGCTTCAGAATTGGCACTGACTTAATACAGCGACGTTATGGAAGAAACTCCCAAATCTGAAGCTGGCGATTCCATTTAATGAGGTCAAGTATTCTCCACCGACGAAGGATGTGGGTATTGGCGAATTGTCTGTTGTGTTTTAAGCCGGGGAGTTTGAGGCAAAGCATCACATCACCACTCTTTGAATGAATCCCAGTAGATAATAACAATGTTGCAAAGAAACACTGTGTTAACCACGTGCTTCAGCTCTGCAATAGCAGGGATGGTAACGTAAGTCTGATACAAGAGATGTCTTTCTATCCAATTATGCCCTGTGGCTTCCAAGCGAATTGAAAATGGTGATGTCTTCCTTCGCCAGCCTGCCTTTGTCTCTCAAACACTACCTTAGGCAGTGTTCCTCTCCGACAACATAAATACAAGACAAAGACGCGTCATGGTCCGATGATAACAGTCTAAGGCCATATAGGATATTCTAAAGGTCTGCCAAGTTCTTGCCCATTCAGATCCCTTGCTGAGCCAGTGTCATGAACAAAGAATACTACCCAAAGCCCACCTTCTCATCCTAAACTCCTCGCATCCCTCCTCTATTACCCCTAATTCACTCCAGATACACATCCATCTTCCCCTCACCCTCCTCAAATACAAATGCCATCCTCAATCCATCCCTACCCCACCACTTCCCATCCCATCCCACCAACCCCCAACCATCACAAACCTAAGCGAGATATCCAAACATTCGAAACCCCACAAAAAACTACCCTCTCTATCTACCTAATTAAACACTCTCGAACATCTCTCCAAGGTCGAATAGTTTAGTGGTTTAGAACACACCCGCCTTGTCTTCCTTCCTTCTCGATTTTGGATACTCCACGCTTTAACGGGCTTAACGTTACCTGATCGTTGGTTGAGGCAACTGGGTGAAACCTGGGTTCGATTCCCAGTTTGATCATTTCTTTTTTTGAATTTTTCTCGAGGCGAAATTTTTTGGGGGAAGGTTCGAGGTTTTGCCGAGAGAAAAAGGAAGGAAAGTGAGCCTCGCCCTTCGCCCTGCTTGTGATTTATGACTGACGCGTCTAGCATTGTTTGAATTGTTATTCACACAGCTTCCAGTAGCATCAGTGGGCATTCCCCCCCTTCATTCTAGATTCCATACCGAGCTTCTTTTTCTTTCGTTGAGAGTCTGGATGCCTTTTGAATCTCCTTTTGCGACGGACGCGTCGCATATTGTTCTACTTTTGGTTTTGTTTTTTTTTTTGGTTTGTTTACCCAAAGCAAACATGCTAAGCGAGGACACCAAACCCTTCCTTCCTATTCTTTCCCTATTCATAACGGGCACCTAACTAGCCGCTACACGATTTATGGGAATGTCCTGAAGTTTTCTAAGGCATTGTGATGAAGAATGACGACTGTGCGAACATGAGATCTGAGAGATGGATTTACCGAAATAGTTGCCGAATGATGAGGAAGCTTTGAATAGGCTGATCGTTTTTCATGTTGATCTACACACCAGAGGAAGTGGGTTAGATATCTTCCCCCTTATAAATATGCATGCCGATTGAATTATATCTTGGGATCTCAGACTTGCAAGATTTCCATTTCTGGGAGGGAAATATGACTTTTCTTAGAAAGAGTAAGCAGCGCGGACAAGATGAATGGCAGTAGAAGAGAAGCGAAAAAGCGACGAACTCAAAAGCAAATGAGAAAACAAAGGAATTTGGGGAGGGTGTTTCATTCAGGTTTGTTTTTACGGGTGTTGCAGGTCTATTTCTAGTCTATAGCTTGTGTCTATGTCCTGCTTGGTTTTCAGCTCCAGACCATATCCAGGTTCGCGAGGAACCACAGCTTAACATTTTCTAACAGGAAGGTGCCTGCAACTCTCTGCTCTATAAGCCTTCCTTCGAGAGCATATCGGCAATATCCAAGTAGAAAGCAATAGCGTTGAACCTTTCATAGTCAGTATAATCTCAATCTCAAGATGGAAATAGAAACTCACTTCCTCTCATTCCCCACAAGCTGCCACATCACCCACCTCAATCTATTCGTCCAATTGATTAAGTCCAAATGACTGACATCAACTAATGTCCCCTTATACGTTCCCCACATCGCACTCTGGACACTCACCAACCCATCATTCGCACCCTCCATCCTTTCCACCACTCTATGCGGCTGGCGGAACGCACTCCAGACACTAGGATGCACTGTCGCCCCATACGAAAAGTACCTCACACCAGGCGCATCCGGCGTCTTCGGATTAAACTCTTCGCGCATATACTTCGTTGTCAACTGCTTGAAAGCGCCCGTACTAATCCCTACTTTAGCAAACCACCTATACACATGCGGCAGATACGACGGCCCCAGTTCCTGGAACACATAATCCGCAAAGCTAGACCCGCGATGCGGACTTGCGACCGTAGTCAGGGAGAGGACATTGACGTTATCTGGTTTGAGACGGGAAATCATGTAGCGCGCGTCGAGGCCGCCCATACTATGTGCGATGATGTTGACGCTCTTTCCGTTGGCTTTTGCTGCTATGTCCTGTCCTAGTTTAAGGGCCCGTTCTTCGATGCTGCCGGATGCTGGGACCGAGGCCGTTATTACTTCGATGCCGTTCGCGCGCATGGCGTCTGTTATGCCGCGCCAGTAGTGGACTCCTGGGAGAAGGGAGCCTGCGAGCTTCAGCTCGTCGAAGCCCAGGAGGCCGTGGGCGAGGACGATTGGGTGTTTGGGAGTTGCTGGCTGTGTTAACTTTGCTTCTATGTCTCTTCCGAATGCTTCCTTCAATGCTTCAAGACCTTCCTGAGAGAGAGAAAAAGGGAAGGGTTTCCTACCATAAGTCTCTCTAATCGTAGCAAAATCATCTTCAATCGCCCTGCCTAAATCATTGATTCTCGGATCACTTTCCGTCTTCTTCTGCTCCCCAGTATTCGCATTCTCACTACTCTTCGCATTCACACTCTTCCTGTTCTCAGCTCTCTCCTTCTTCTCCACAGAACAGCAGCAGCAAGTCGTAGACAGGGGAAGGGACATTTGTTTGCACAGGATCGCGGAGGAGGAGGGTCTAAGGATATTTGTATAGCGGGTGTGAGGGCGATGAGGCACATTTTGGAGGAGCCATCTCGTGCGTGCCACACGAGCTGCTAATGGCGTTGTCATTGCTGTGGGTTATGCATTGGGTTTGGATGTGTTGGTGCAGAGATGCCATTGTGAGGGAGAGAAGAAGGCGCGTTGTGGTGTTGATGGTTTGGTTTTCGCAATGGAGGAGCAGTGACGTCGTTGACAGAGAGCGAGACATGCCCCTGGCTCGAATCAGTGAAGCATGTGATTCTGGAGGGCTAATTGAAAACGCCACTGCCATATTAGATTATCATTTAGTTGAGTTCAAACAATAGTGCTCTGTATCAAAGATGTGTAAGATGCTTGAAAGCTGTGGAAGGTTGCAGCCGTAAGAGCCAGTATCAACTCGATGATGCACCCAGTAACTCAAAGCTCGGGTGGGATATCTTCTTGAATTGCAAAATACTCTATACAGCGATCATTGTCTGCCCCTCTCTCCCTCTTCGAATTCCCAAATAATCAGAGCCCTCTGGCAATGCGTTCTCCGGACCCAAACCAAGCCGATCCCTACTCCCTCAAGACATCAACCAGCTTATTTTGGAGCCTCGATACGTTCTGGAACCACAGGCTTGACATCGAAGACCGCCGTCAACAGGTCCTTCACAACAGCATCTTGTCCCTTCTTTCCAGCGACCTGAATCTCCTTTATCTTGACCTCGGCGTCCTTGTTTGCGTCTTGCTCGGCCTTCTTGTTGCCGCTTGTGTGCTAGGAACCAGGATCAGCACCATTCCAACAATATGCCTCCCTGAAAGCTCTCAAAACAGCTCTGCTGATTGATTTGCTTCTCCAAGGGAAAGGGCGCCAAAAAGTGTACCTCGGACTCGAACTTCTTGAACTCATCATCCTTCGCCTTCTTGTACGCATCGATCTCCTTCTTTGCCTCGTCTCTGGCTTCCTTTACACGCTTTGTGCGGTCTGCTCCAATTAGCTTTCCTTCTTCCTCGTCGACCATGAATATTCTTTCAGCGCATCCTTACATTCTCTAGCTGTAATCCCAGTAGTCAGTGTAAGTCATCAAGCCAATTCCAATTCCCAACCACAAGACCAGACCAAGCAGCCAAACATACCTCTCTGAACAATCTTCTGCGCCTCCCTCTCAGCCTATTCAACGATTACAATCAGCGTCTGTACTCCCCTGCCATAACCACCCAAGATCTAGCCGCCGTCGTGGGATACGTACATCGAGCAGGGTCTGGATACCTGCGGAGTTTTGTGCAGACTATACGCCATCCATCTGATTAGCCAATGTTCCCATAACCACAAATATGACATAATGTATGTGGGTGCAGAGAGAACATACCATCTTGCAATCCTCCTTTGTCTGGTTATTTCAGGGTATCGTGGTGGGCGTAGAAGGAGCTCGTTCGTTATCGCGGGATGTTCAGATTGAGGATCGATCCAGGTCCAGCTTGCCCAGGCCAGCTCCCAAAGCAACAAGAGCTGCAGCTCCAGACCCCTGCTCGGCATCCCCCGTCAATATCGTACCTTCAACCATTCTGACTTCAACACCACTTGCTTGCACTTCAGCAACTCACAATGCGCCATTGAAAGCTTCAATCGAAATACCGAGAGCAGGAAGTGTTGAAGGAGGATTCCCCGTAAAGAAAGTTAGACATGTCCCGCCCAGCCAAACTCACGCTCGCGGGCACGTCGCTCTTCGCCATCGCAACGGTCTTCTTCGTGCACTATGGGCAGCAAGCCGAGAAAGCTGTTTGTACACCCTCCTTACCCCTCTCACCACTACCCTCTTTCCCTGGAACTATCTTCCTTTCAGCTCCTACGATCCGGCGAGACTAACGCAAGTTCATCTCTCTCTAGGCAATGCACCAGGGCGTCGTACGGGACATGGAACAGCAGCGATTGAAGAAGGAGCGCCAGTTAGATTTCGATATGCAGAGGGCCCTGGAGGAGGAATATAAGAAGGTGCAGAGTGTACATGATGGGGCGGTCGTGGTTGAGAAGCCGAGGTAGCATTGACCTACTGGAAAGCTTGCTTGGAGGATCTACGAATCGAATGTCTATTCCACTCTACTATACTTTACTTCGAGGTGGGAAGAGGAAATTGTATAAAATGGGTGTACAATACTGTAGAAGGGAAAAAGGCAGGCATGGGCATTGGGCGGCGCGAAGGCATCAAATAGCTGAAGAATCGAATCACTTCAAGCAGTACAGGCGGGAATGAATGGATTTTAGAGTATACAGAGAGATACACATCATACAGAGCACTTTTGGCAGGAAAGGCAGGACCAAGACCAAGACCAAAAATCTTTGTTCTGCATTATTCATCTTCTTTTCTTTTTGTCGGTCGTCTCGATTCTTCCATCATCTCTCGGGAAAATCTAGCTATGGTACACTAGATCTGCCTGGGAAAAAGCGCGCCCAAATTTCACTCGCTCGCTTAACCCTCCCCCTTCTCCCATTCCTGCTTCAGACAAAGACAACCAATATGTATGCAGGGTGCCCTGTCCATTTTGTTCCAGGCATTCTTGCTCCCTTCCCAAACGCCTCAATATGCAAAGATTCATGATCCCTCTACCAACCAACTTTCCCTATACATTCTTACATCTTGATTCCTCCCTCCACCTCCACTCCTCACTCGAAAAGAGATTAACGGACTGTAATTCCAGATCTTGTGGTGAACAATCTAGCTGCGATGTTCATTGATGCAAGTTCTTGGAAGAGCAACTTCGCAGCATATGGAATATGGATCTGCGATATTTTGGTCTTGTTCTTGCAAGGTCGGCACTCGAAGGATTGGGTAGAGAGTTTGCTATCATACGTTAGTACTAGAATTTTCAGAAGAAAGATGAAGAAACTTACGCAATCGGAGTCAT